AGGTGTGTATCAATCTCATGATATGTTTGCAAAATAAATAAATAGTCAAGTGCGTATACACACATAGGTGATACCTCAAGCAGTGAAATGAGCACACTCCAGGCCCTGCCACCAGCCAGAGCACATCCTGCATGTTGTCTCTAGCCCTCGCCCTCCCAGCACTGAGTGTGGTTCTCTGCCCCCCTTATAGGCTAGGAGAGTGAGTGAGGCTGTCTCAAGAGCAGTCCTAGGACCCCACAGAAAGGTGCTTTTGTGGTGTTTTAATAATAAGTCACGTGACTCAAAATTCAAAAAGTATCATATGGTCCACAGTGGAAAGGCTCTTGCCCTGGGGTCTCACATTCCTGCCTAGAGAAATTCCAGCAGACAGATGGGGGGTGTGCACATGGAGATAGACGGGGTGTACATAAAGGGGTGTGTGTGCACACGTGCAGGTAGGTTGGATGTACGTAGAGGGGTATATATGTACCTGTGCAGGTGAGACACAGTGTGTGTAGATGCACTTGACTCTAAATATTTATTTTGGAAACATATCATGAGATTGATATACACCTGTGCGCTGAGACTTTGTAACTGCCCTTGTAAGCAGCTTCATTGTGATTTCTCTGTTAGAAGCTGTGGGCACTTGTCATTCTTGATGTTACCATATTGGGGTATTCTCATTCTGAAGTCGTTTTCACGTGAATTTCCCACATTCACACTAACTAGGGTGGGAGGAGTAGTTCTAGAACTATTCTGCAATGACTGCTCAAACTGTTTCCAAGTAAAGGTTTTGCCAGCTCTTTAGCAGTATTAATAAAAGTGGTGTGAAGCTAGCAGTGCTGCCCACCCAAGAGTCACAGTGTAGCCTGGCCCTTGAATGTTGCCTGCAGCTGGTCAGAGACAAGCCTAGTACCTGCAGAGGTTATATGGGCTCCAGGAGGCTCCTTTGCTCAGATTCTGGAGCTGCTGCTTCTATGCCTGCAGTACCCCCATCCCTGCAGACCCCATGGGTGGGCCACTGTAGTTGATGAATACCTGACTATGTAGTCACTGGCGGAGCACAGCTCAGTTGCCCGCCCCCCCCCCCCCACTATCTCCTCCTTGTCCTTGTGGGGGTGGAGCCACGTTTATGAGCACTGTGATGTTCTGTCTCCAGGTTATGTTGGCGCCGCTACTGTGGGTGCTGCTGCGTGGTGGTTTATTGCTGCTGACGGCGGTCCTCGGGTTACCTTCTACCAGCTGGTATGTAGCCACCTTCTTCCTGTACCTTAGCTGCAAAGCTCTGAGTTGCCCTTGACCTCTCCTGTGGTTTAGGTGTCCATCAAGCAACTTTAAGGGTTATACAATCCACAAGTTGCATCTGAGATTGTTTTTCAGGAGCAGGGCTCTCTGGGAAGTGGGGTAAAATCCCACAGCTCTTACGCAAACGTGTGGGTCTGTGCTCTGGGCTTCGTGTGAAACAAGCGCATGGGGCTTGGGGAAGATACTTGGCTGATCCAGAACTCGATTGGCTTCTGTTGCAGAGTCACTTCCTGCAGTGTAAGGAGGACAACCCTGACTTTGAAGGAGTGGATTGTGCAGTCTTTGAATCGCCCTACCCAATGACAATGGCGCTCTCTGTTCTTGTAACCATAGAGATGTGTAATGCCCTCAACAGGTGAGTGGGTCTTTGTGATGAGCCTTGGGAGCAAGGCACCGAGTCCAGGCTGACTGAACACAGGGCAGACCTCCCTGAAATGATGGGACAGGGAGGACCAGATTAAAATCTCAGTGAAGGCAAACACAGGTATATGGGTGGATAGATGGGTGGACAGGCTGAACTATGAGGTATGTCTGTGCAGCAGGGAGTGTACCCAGGACCTTGTTTAGGGTTGGCAGATAATGGTTCTACAGGTGTATTTGTATGTTCTGTAAGAACTCTCAGGTATAGTAGAGCTGACAAGAGGCTAGGTTGTAGTTACTTCTTGGTCACAGCCAGTACCCAGAGGGACCAAGTAGTTGAACCTGTGGGCTCAGGACCATAATCACAGGGGACATCAAGCTCAATTGGCATAACATACTACACCAAACATTGTTCCACCCCCTACTTTGGCGAGTAGCGACTGGGATCTTAAAAGCTTGCAAGCAGCCATCTAGGTGCAACTATGGATCTCTCCCTGTCTAGAGGAAAGAAGAATGAAGAAAAACGATTCATGGAAACAATTAGTCCTCACGACTGGTACACCATGCACTCCTCAGCCTATACGAATGAGACCAGAAGAACTAGATGGTGCCCAGCTACCACTGTCAACCACTCAGAGGGGGATCTATGTAGTAGATCCCAGATAGACAAGGAGAACAATGTGGAACAAAACTCAAAATCATTGGGTGGGGAGAGACCAGGTTTGCTGGTCTGATAGAGCCTGGTGGAACCACTGAGACTATGGTCCCTTAGCTGCCCTTCAGGTCTGGAATTGAACCCACACCTATGGCTTCCAGCCAAATAAAAGACAGGTATATGAGTTGAACATGCACAGGAGTTAGATACATCCCTTGGAGAGAACAACATGGGAGAAAGAAGGGCTGTTGATGCTGAGGGAAAAGGTTCAGGGGGCAGGAGTGCGTGGAGGGATGGACACAGGGAAGAGGTAACTATCCAGAGGAAGTGGGGGGGGAGGTGTTGCATTGGGGTAAACTGTCAATATCACCAGACAATGTGTATGTGAACTGCTGTATGGAAAGTGAATTTGCTCTGTAAACTTTCACCCAAATCACAATAATAAATAAATAAATAAAATTGCAAGCGTCACCAGGAATGGGAATGGCCAGGCACTTACTCCGCAAGGGGTCACCCTGAGAGAGACAGTGGAGGTCTCGAATAGGGACTCTTATCCACTGCCAGGCCCATGGGGAGACACTTCTGCACTCTAGCATCCAATCAAGCTGTCACAGAAATAAGCATTTCTAAACAGCCTGAATGCCACGGGCACCTGAAGGCAGCTCTCGCTCTTGCAGAGTGGAGTCTGCTGGGCACATACCTGGGTTTGCAACTGAAAGTCTGTCCTACATCTGAACAACCCCGTCTTCCATTTGGGCCACAGGAGAAGCGGCATTGGCAAGGTCCAGTGCAGAGCAGGTGGGGCCCTGCGACGTGAGCACAGCAGAGGTGCCTCACGGTCTCTCCTTGTCCACAGCTTGTCTGAAAACCAGTCCTTGCTGAGGATGCCCCCCTGGGAGAACATCTGGCTCGTGGGCTCCATCTGCTTGTCCATGTCCCTCCACTTCCTCATCCTCTACGTAGAGCCCTTGCCGGTAAGTGCTGGCCGGGGTCTTGAGCTGGCAGTGGGACCTGGGCGAGGCAGGGCCTGTGCTGCCTGCGACGTGGGGGCTGATGGGGTCTCCCTGTCGCAGCTTATCTTCCAGATCACACCGCTCAACTTGACCCAGTGGCTGATGGTGCTGAAAATCTCCCTGCCTGTGATCCTCATGGATGAGACCCTCAAGTTCGTGGCCCGCAACTACCTGGAGCCTGGTAAAGAGTGTGTGCAGCCGGCACGGCCGTGCTCGCTCTCAGCGTGCACCGACGGCATCTCCTGGCCCTTTGTGCTGCTCGTAGCGCCCCTGGTGGCCTGGGTCTATAGCACAGACACTAACTTCACCGATATGTTCTGGTCTTGACTGGCAGCTTGGCCTAAAGAAGATGTTTAACTTAAATCAGTTAATTTTTTTTATTGTTTAAAGCAACTGTCTATTTCTGCTGAATTTTCACATGAACATAGTGGCTGGTGAAGGAGGTTTCATACTCGGTTTTGTTTTGCTTTTTCTGACTCCAGTGGGGCAAAATTTTCCTTTTTTATACACATAATTAAAGTGTCCATTGACATGTACAGAGAACTAACACTATTTTATGCAAATATTTTTTTGTAGATGAAAAAGCATGTACAGTGTTCTGTTTAATACTCATCCTTGTATAAAAAAAAAAAAAAAAAGCTGAGCCAGCAGATATTGTCAGCAATTAATTGGCAGCAGATTTTAGGCGAGGAATGTGTGTGGTTTTTTCTAAAACTAAAGAGCATGTGTTGTGTCTTTTGCATGATCATCTGGATTTAATTTGATATCACAGTCTAATTTTACTCATAAGCCAATTTTTCTGCACTGAGCAGAATACTGCTACCTCAGTCAGTATTTTTTGGTTTGCCACGTCCTCACCCTCGGCCCTCCGCGCACCCTCCTGCCCCCTGCTCAGCTTCTCCTTTAGGGTTTTGGTGGTTTGTTTACATCAGTCTTAACAAGAGGTAGACCGGTTCTTGCTGGTGCAGAAAGCATTGTTCCAGATTCAGTCTCCTGGGTTCGTGTCCCCTCACAAGGTTTTTAAGGTTATTTATTTAAATGTCTAATGTATTTTATTGTAACAGACATTTTTTGTTTCCAACATTGCCTATTTCAGTGGCACATCACAATCTAGTTTTAAAAAATAATAAAACCTTTTAAATGGACAGAGAACAAAATACCTGTCTTGTTTTTAACTCTTAAATGGCTGAGCTTTAACCAGCTAGTAGATGAGTCCAGCTTTCTTTTGAATTCTTAGCTCAGAGCTTAGTGTCCTGTGCTCCCCGAGGAAAGGGCCTGTCCTGCTCATAGCCAGCACTTTAGCTTTCTGAGGCACTAGGTGTCTTCTGTGGTTCACGTTTTAATGTGAGTTCCTGCTGGCCTGTCGCCTGCTATAGAGAACACGAGGGCAGTGTGCGTGTACGTGTGTGTGTGTGTTTTGTAAAATCTGTAAATAGCATATGACCAAATGAACATATTGTATAGAACTATTTTTATTTTACTGTGGCACTAACCACCACCATCGTTCGTATGATAAGTGTTTGCGCATGTTCTGAAATCGATCTGACCAACAGCGTATCTGGTCATTAACAGTCCTAACTGTGGTGTTTCTCTCCAATGCCTTCCACTTTCATCAACCAAAGTGAGTATCTTCCCCTGTAATTCAGATCCTTTAGCCTACAGTGACTGTCACAACATGAGAGAGCCGTGTGACTTCCTCAGCCCAAGCCCCGTGTCACTCCTGTGCCTGGTGACTATCCCTGGTGCACACTTGTTTTGCCCCCTGCCTGGCAAGGATGGTCGGTAGCAGCAGCTGTGTGGCACAAGAGGCTCAGTGGGATACTAGCTGACAGATGCTGTGTCACTGTCTAGGACAGTGGCTGAGCAGGCTGTCCGGGAGGGCCACACCAGGCAGGCAGGGGAGCTGTGCTGTCCCACAGCCAAGGTGCTGCCCCAGAGAGACACGCTTGGTTCTTTTGATCCTTGTCAGTGCCAGACTGAGCCCTGAACATGGCTGCTTGTTCATTAAGGAAGCAGAAGCCTGTGAACACAGAACCGGATTACCAGGCATCTTTTAAAGATGCTTATTGTTTTGCACTCTGGGTTGGGCCCTTGATGGCCAAGGCATTTCTCCTCAGGGTACCTTAAGGCACTGGTGTCTGCCCAAGGCTCCACTCACCCATGGCAGCCTCCAGCCACATTGAAACCAGCCTGAGAGCTGCCCAGTTTGTATTGAGGTGGCAGGGAAGGGGTTCCGCCACTGGTCATCAGGCCAGCAAATGGTGCTGGGAGCACTGGGGGTTTGGGAGGGGTTTGCACATCTCGAGCAGGGCAGGCACTGCAGGGTTCAGAGGTCAGAATGGAAGGGGAACACAGTGGACATGGAAAATGGCTCTGTCTGCACAGTTGTGGCCCTCAGAGGCTGTTAAGAAAGGGAGGCTTCCTCCTCGAGCGAGCATCAGGAAACACAAATGGAAATGGGTCAAGTGAAGCATTGAAATGCAGACTGAACAAGAGTGTCTGGGCGGCTGGGCATGGCACACACTGCTCCAGGGAACCACAGTGACAAAGAGCCGAGTATTGCTGACTTTTCCCTTGGCCTAGCCACATTGGGTGGGCGGGGCTGCTGCAGCACCTTGTGCACCCCAGTGACGGCTCTTGGCCAGCTATGGTCCCACCAGCCCCTGCAGGGGCTTAGAGCATCCACATCTCTAAGGCATAGGTAGCCAGCCTCAGTACAGGCATATCTACAAAGACAGGTGATCCCCCAGGCCCTGCGATCTTGGGTGATCCCTAGCTTCAGCCCTCTCTGGCAGCAAGGAAGGGTCCATAGAAACCCCATTCTTGCATGGTACCTCCAGAAAGGGCAATGCCCTGTTTTTTGCACCCTGCCCCTATAAGGAACTGGCAGCAGCACTCTCTGACCCACTGAACGAACTCCTGTTGTCTAGCAGCCCTTGCCTGAAGGCTCCGGCAGGGCCCTCCCAGCCTCTGTGCCCTCCGCTCTGGGGCCCAAGAGTGGCCGGCAGACCCTGGTACTGCTGCGTTTACAATGTGCTCCATGTTGCCCCTGTACCCAGACCCCCGGATTCTGTTCAAAGCCCTACCCTGCAGTTAAGGATGACAGCCTAGGGAGCCGGGCAGGGCCTGGCCGCCAGCAGAGGCTGCCCGGGGACAAGGAGAGGTAGAGGCTTTTGCACAGTGGCTCGCTGCTCCGCTCTGCTTCTGCATTCTTCCTTTCTACTGCTCACCACGCCCCTTTCCTCTTGCCCATCTCACTGCTTCATTAAGTACCTGAAGGCTTTGCCTGATGTGGCTGCCTGTGGGAGTTCGCTGCACGCGCCCTATGGCCAGAATGCCTGAGGGCTTCTAGGACGCCAGCCTGCTGGGCGTCTCAGGGACCATTAATCAGAGATGCTGGTCTTTAACCTTACCAGATCAAACCTAGTGTCCTTTTCATCTGTCACTGTAATCTTAGTCTTAAGTACAGTTGTTCTAACATTTCCTCCCTGTATTTCATAAAGCTGACTTCCTCTCTCTTTCCTTTTCAGCAATACTGGAGTAACCGCTTCTAAACCATTGTGCAGAAATGTAAGGGTGTTCAGTGCGTGCATGTGCGTTTTTAGCAACACATCTACCGACCTCTGCATGATTGATGTTGGGGGAAAGTAGACAAGTTTCCCAGACTCGTGTGTGTTATGTGGAGGAAATGTGTATTACCAATGGGGTTTTCAGCTTTTAAATCAAAATAATAATTAAAAATGTACGATTTAGCTTATTGAACCAGAAAGCCTCTCCAGACAATGTTGGTTTCTTTGCTTGCAAGAAGAATGAGGTTCTGAAACCTTATCCAGGAACTTAGAAGCCATGAGCCAAGTCTCCATACTTCTCTGCAAAATGTCACAGCGTATGTAAATTTGTAATACTCCATTTTCAGCTGTAATGCATGCCTTCAGTTGTAAGTAGCCAGACTGCTCTATGGTGTCCTTGAAACAAGCCACTTTTTAATCGGCCCTGTACAGTTTGCTTATTTATAAATTTATTGGAAACACTACAGGTGTTGAATGGTTAAAACGTAGGCCTCCCGTTCATAACTTCAGTTATTTTTTGAGTGTGCAAACAGCTAATTTGCACTGTATTAAATGTAACTTATTTAATTCAATCAGAAGCGTAGACAGATGTTGGTGCAATAAGAATATTGTGATGCATTTATCTGAATAAAATGCTAAACGTCAATTTATCACAACGCATGTTTGCCTTTAGACTGTAAATAGAGATGGTTGTTTATCTCTGTGCTGTAACGGCCTCGCACAGACATGGTTTCAGGTAAATAAATCTGTTCTACCGTAAGCTCCTGGTGTGGTGGTAACTCTGCCCTGTGGGCCCCCAGCCCCGTATCCCAGGAGGGCGAGGGCAGAACAGAAAGAAGTGTTACCCCCTCCTGGTGGGTAAGAAGAACCAAAAGTTCCCGAAGTTAACTTTTTAGGTCTGAGAGCGTGTTGGTAGGGCATATGGGCAAGACAAGACCTGTAATGTGTTCTCACCCTGGCTCCGAGCTGTCAGCAACCTTGACAGAACGTGGAGCGAGGCATCTAACGCTACTCGCCGCAGAATGGATGTACAGCTCCGAGCTGCGGACCAGCGGAGGCACTGGGGTCCGGCACTGGGATCCCTCCAGCTGCACAGTGGCCAGGAATGGACATGGGGTGGGGCTTCTATTTTCCAAACTCCCTAAGATGGTTCTTTTTTTAAAAAAAAAAAATATGTACCAGGGATGCAAGGTAGTCAGATAGTTCTATAAATCTAACAGTAAATTAAAAAAAATTTTTGTCAATGCTATAGAGTTGGAAAAAGCATTTGATAAAATTTATATTCCTCAGAGGAACAAAAAATCTTGAAATTCCCATCACCCTTATCTTAGAAACATGAAAAGGAAACCCGAAATATTGAGATAGCAGAATCCCTCAACCCCCTGCTGCCCGCTCCTTCATACTGTGGAGACACTGGTCTCTGGCTAGATGAGAAGCGGAGGAAAAGTAGCCGGGAATGAGCAAAAAGCAAGGCCACAAGACACTGGAATTAATCAAACGGGCTTGATAGCGGGCAAAGGAATGAGAAAGAAGAGTAACAAGGGGGTTACAACTTGGGGCACTTTTGAGAAAGAAAGTGATACAAACAGGAGAAAACCTGCATGGGTTGAGAAATGCAAAACACAGTCAACCCTGCTACTTAAAATCATGAGGTATCATTGCATGCCTGACAAAACCAGGATGGCATATGCCACGTGTTGGCAAGGACACCTACACACGACAGCCACTGCTTAGAGAACACGGAAGCCAGCAGCTCCA